GAGAGAGAGAGAGAGAGAGAGAGAGAGAGAGAGAGAGAGAGAGAGAGAGAGAGAGAATAATTACGAATGAGAATAAATCTTTGTATAATAAAAAATTAAAATCTAGAATAATGTATAGAATATAAGAACAGAGAGAGAGAGAGAAAGAAAGAGACAGGAGAGAAGTAGAACGGAATACTGATGTGGAATGAAGAGAAAATACGAGGGGAAAGCGCGGACGAGCGCGACTCGAGGGCGATTTTGCGTATATTTATCGAGCGAATTGCGGACGCGCGGGCGTCCGGCAGCGAAAGATCGCACTCGGTTTTGCCTAATGCCAGGGGCAGGCCGCGTCGGCTGCCACGAAACGGGCTCGCTCGCTCGCTCGCTCGCTCATTCATGGCAGCTTCCATTGGCAACAACCTGTTGCCGCAGTGACGTAACCAGCACTTCCTATCGCAGGCGCTACGTCAAACAATGCGATTGATTGCGCCGACGTGCCGGATTTAGGCGCGCGCGGTGTATTTCGGGACTAACGAGGGGCAAACACGGAGACGTAAACTTCCGGGGCGACTGTCGAGTCCGCCTTTACGATCCCACGGTAAAAGTGAGATAAAAGTATCGAGGACACCTTCGGGGAGAACGCGTTTCGCGCTCTCCTCTTCAATTCTAATCACCGACGGAAAGATAAGGACAACGGACGGGCCTCTCCTTTTCGCGTTTAATTGCCACGGAATTTAAATTGGGCAGAACGTAGCCGCGTGAGAAATGAAATCGTTACTTTCTAACTTAGAAAACTCGTCGTCGCTGAAGAGGCCGGTAGTTTCCAGGCGGCGAATCAAAATCGGAATTTGCCGTGACGGTGTTTTTTATTTTTTTATTTTTTACGCAAAACAAATCGCGACAAGGCGAGAGAGAGAGAGAGAGATAACCTCCTCGCGATCTCAACTGATCCCGCGGAGAGAGAGAGACCCCGTTTTCCACACGACGGCGCCGAGCGCGGGCTCTCGAGGTACACCAGCCCAGACGGGGGAAAAAAAGGAGTCGTCGTTAGAATCTCATTTCTCGCGAGAAGAATGGGGAGGAGGGGTCCCCGCGGGCCCCGTTAATTACGCCCCTGCCAGGTTGGATGCTGCGTCAGGAGCAATGGCGGCTTACCTGGCTCGCCTGGCTGGCCTGCCCCTGCCCCCCCGCCCCTCCCCGCGCTTGCCCCTTTACCTGCGCCGCGCGTTCCTCGGGGGCAAGCCGACGAACCTGTTGCCCGTTCTCATCCAGTGTCGTGTCGGTTTCGTTCTTACGCGGTGGGTACGCGGTGCTCTCGCGGGACGCACGCACGCGCGCGCGCGCGCACGAACGAACGCACGCACGCACGCACGCACGCACGCACGCACGCACGCACGCGTTCAGGTGGGCTCGGGTTGTGCTGTGCGATCGGCGGCGGAGAGCGCGACGGAAACGCGCATAGGCGCGGCGGAGAGAGAGAGATACACGGCTCGCGAGGTGCGATCCACGGCGGCGGCGGCGGCGGTGAGAGTTTCCTTCGCGTCGACGCGTCACCGTCGGCCGCGCTCGCGCTGCTCCGATCGCTCGATCGGCCGTCCGCTCGATCGGCGGAACGGCGCTCTCGGAGCGCGGAGCGACGCTCAGCGTGTCGCTCTCCATCGGACGCGTCGCCGTGAAAAGTGCGGCCCGCCGTTCGCCTTCCGAATCTCGGCCGGGTGAGAATCGGAGTACGCGAGGGGTAGGAGAGGTGCGTCGTTGTCGGACGGCGCGCGAAGGGAGGCCGACGGGAGAAATTGGGAGCCGGGCGTTCGCTCCGTGAGGAAGGAGTCCAGTGACTTCCGCTCGAAGGTGCCGAAAAGTAGGATCGCGTGTGTGTGCGCGCGCGCGCGCAACGATCGCGAGGGTGTGCGTAAAATTGAGTGCAGTGAGTGGATATACAGTGGACCGGTAAGGACCCGCGCCCCCCCGTTCGTCGCTTCTCGAGGTTAGTTTCGCAATCGCGAATCGATCGATCCTTTCCGAGACGGATATATCGGGCTCCGCTGCCCCGAATGTGTTCCCTCGCCTCGCCTGAAACGGCGAAACTGCGTCGTTAACGGCGACTCTAAAGCCAATCGCGTCCACGAGGTTAGAAATCGATTCGGGATCCCGGGAAATTGTGTAGCCAGCCAACTGCAGCTTTTCCGTAAAAGGTGCAGGTTGACTGGCTACGTATCGTGGGCACGGGGCTCGAAAGGCGTAAAAGAAAAAAAAAAGAAACACCTCAGTGGTCGAATTGGTGGGACGCCCGCGTAGGCTCGGTTTCACCAACGTTGTTTAACTTTAAGCTTAGCTTAACTCGTTCTTTGTCTCTTTCCAACTGTTACTTTGGAAAGAGACAAGCACGAATTAAACCAAGACTCAAAGTTCAGCGACGTTCGACCGGGTCTGAGGCCCGGTTTCACCAAACGTCGTTTAACTTTGATCTTAGTTTAATTCACGTTTGTTTCTTTCTAAAGTAACAGATGAAAAGAGAAGGAATTAAGCAAAAGTAAAACATAGAAACATAGAAAGTTACACAACGTTGGTGAAACCGGGCCTAAGAAGAGAATCGATTGACCTGAAGCGTGAATTAAACTAAGATTAAAGTTAAGCGACGCCTGGTGAAACCGGGCCTTAGATTGTAGGGAAGTTTCAAGTCCTGGCTGAGGTAATATTTTTCGCATTAAATGTATTTAATTAGAATTTGCCAGTCGGCGTCGTTTAACAATTCTTCCACATTGACTAGTCATGTACTGGCGTCCAATAATTCATCGCGTTATAAAGGAATAATGTAATTTCATTTGCGAGATCCCTTTTCTCTTTCGACGCGCCGCGGACGATAGCGCGGAGTTACACGCGTGTTAGTCAAGCACGGCCGGCATTGAGACTCTCGCGTGTCTACGCCGCGAGAGAAACGACGCGCGACGGTTTCCACGGGGTTTGTCGCGAGGACGCGCGCGATCGTGCTCGCGATCGTGGCGAGGTGTCGGGACGCGTAACATATAGCGAATTCAGTGCAGCTTGCACTGGTGCGCACTGAGCGCGCCCTAAAGCCCGTGTCACACTACGTATTGCGGGTTAAGGCACAGATCTGACTTCTAACTAATGACTAACAACTCACTGTAGACCGGGCCTAAGACAAAGATTTAAAACGCAAAGCACTGTCTTAAGAGTACAAGACAGTCATCCTGCTCAGGTCCTAAGAATTGATTGTAAACAAGCGCGTATCAGACTACGGATTGAGATTAGATTGAAATTTGACCAATTAGAGTAAAAGTCACTAAACGAATTGTCGAATTCGCTATTGGAGAAACTTGAAAACTTTGTCGTACGACAAGTGTAATACAAGCCTTAGCCAGTAAAATTATCCGTATAGCATTTGTACGGATTATGTTTTTTTTTTTTGCTAAATAATTTTTGGACATGTACTTGAGACGACCATAAATATAAGAGTAGACTCTGAGCAAGCGTTGGTGTGCACTCGAGTGCGGACTAGTGCATGTTGCCGAATTCGCTAACGGAGAAACTTGACAAGTTTGTCGTACAAGTGCAATATAAGTCTTAACCGGTGAAATGATCCGTACAGCATTTGTACGGATCATTTTTTTGCTAAAAGAGTAAACTCTGAACAAGCGTTGGTGTGCACTCAAGTGCGCACTAGTGCAAGCTGCCGAATTCGCTAATAGAGGAAGCGCGCGCGTCGTGAAGATCGTGACTCACGCGGGAGAGGCGAGTCGCGCAGGTAGATATTTCGGCTGTGGGCGTATTCCCGCATTCCTGTCACGTACCGACCGGAGGGGAAAAAAAGCATCTCCCTTGGACACTCCTCTGAGAAACCGGGACGGAGGGGAGGATCATGTAAATGTAATCCTTAGTCATCGACCGATCGAAATCGCTGGAATGCGCCGTGGAGCTCGAGCACGAATTTAGGAGCACGCGCGTGACACGCTAACGAGCGTCGGAAACGAAACACGAAACAAAGTTTGGAGCGCGCGGGACCTGGCAATTCCTTAAATTAATTCGTTACTTTCCAACCGTCGCGCGTCCCGCATCTCTTTTACGATTTTGTCAGCGGGTCTCTTTCCGCATCTCGAATTTCCTGATATTTTATATGCATCCCAGGTTTTATTTACACCCGGGCGCTCCTCCGTCGCGCTCGTTCAATTATTCTCAAGACAAACGTAAATTTCGCCAAGTCGGGAAGCACCCGGTAGTTTACGGGCGCGTGAAAATTATCACCGAAAATATTATACACGCGTACTTTCCTCCGCCGGTGAGAACGCGCGCGCGCGCCTGATTTCCGACATCTCACACCGCGCAATCCTCTCTTGCATTATGAGTGCGAGCGTGAAAAAAAGAAAGAATCTCCGTTATTTCGTAAACGAGGAACCTCATTTTCCTTCAGCGTTACGTAACTTCCTCAGTTTCCGAACTCCATTTCGCGATTGTCTTTTTCTCTCATGCGCTCACGTACACTTGAAGAATTTCGAGTATAATTTGCGAGAATTGTTAGCCAAAGTAAGCCCCCGCGTACTCGCATGCCCACCAGAGAGAACAGTGCCCTTCTGTGGCTTTAAACTTAGTACCGCTGTCTTTCTCGCAGCTCGCCGTTTCCAATTACGTACTTGGAACGGGAGGGGCTGAGGGGGTGAGGGGAGGAAGCAGAGAGGGACGAGGACGGAGAGGATCGCCCGGCGAACGAGAGAACGGAGGATGCTGGGATGCCGTGAGACCGTTCGTCGAAGCAACACCCGAGATCGTAGCGGAGGTGAGTGTCCGCTCTTTCTGCTTGGAATGTTGCGTTGTTTCTCGTCTCCCGTATCGGGGCAATGGAGAATCACCCGCGATTAGACCGGGGCGATGTTTTCGTCGGGTGGAATTTTTTTCTTTCTTTCTTAAATCAATTCCGATTTGCCACGTGGACCGTGGCAGCTCGGCTGCTCTTCGAAGGAAATTCGTGGCGCTCTCGCGGAAACCGGTTGATCCCCCGGCATCTCGACGGACGGTCTATTAATTATCTTCCGAGCCAACTTAAATTCAAATCGAGCCCGCGCGATCGTAGTCGCCCGGGACGTTTCCCCGCGTGTCGCGGTTTTTCGCCTCTCGTTCGGCAATTCGACGGCCGAAGGGCGACTACGTGACGAGATCATTTCGTGGCTCGCCGATTTCTCGGCGTAGAATTCGATTAAGCAAAGTGCAGTCGCGCTTTGCGGAAAATAACGCAATTAAGCGCCGCCGAACGGCGACGATGGTCGAGCGGAATGCAATTTACACCCCGGAGCGCCCGAAATCGACGGCGAATTTTCCGTGTTCTTGTCTCAGCTGATTGCGAGTAATTGTAATTAACAAAGCGATTCGAATGTGAACCGAACGCATTCGTGGTAATATGAAAAGAAAAAGGCGGATCATCGTGAACGATACAGAGACCCCGCGCCAAAGGGGGTAACCACGGGGAGAAAATTGTCTCTTAACACTTATCCTGAAAACCATGTAATTGTGGGGCAACGTGCACGGAAAGACCGGCTAAGGCAAAGATAACTAAAATTAAAATTGTAATTTTATTAGCATCTACGATAAGCGTGTAACTCCGATTATTGGTTTGTTCCCTTTTAGAATTTATACTTGATAAGTGAAATGAAACCCCTCCTTAAATAAAAAATTATAAAATCTAGAATAAAATGGCAGTATGCATTGTCTTTTGTCGAATATCGCGGTGCCAAGATGGAGGGAAAATTGATTCTAAACGCAAGAATATATAAACTTACATTTATACAAGTTACTCTCGTCTCAATATAGTAAGTCAATCTCTTTGAATTCGATAGAGGAGAATAAGAATTATTGATTTTATTTCGATATTGTCTTATTTTTATGCTAAATGCGGTTGTGAGAAATATAAATGCGTCAGGACTATTTTTTGTCTCGGTGACGGAAATCTTTTCCGAGGGTGTAACATTTTTGGGGCAAGAATACCTCACGCTCGGATTGAATTGGCATACGAAAGAAAACCCAAAATAAGTTACACAGTTATTCAGTATGTTAATGCGGTCAACTAGATATTAAATTCGATCGTTCTGAAAAAAGTTAATTTCTGGAGTTAAGGCTTTTTCCCTCCTCGGAGGGCAAGAGATCGCCCGTGTGGTTTGAACGAAGTAAAAACGTCGCTGCGGAGCGGTAGATTGATTTAATTTCGTTGGCAAGAATCAGAAAGCATTTTGCAGCGCGAAACTTGTGCGAATTGTAACGTACAGTTCGCCGCATATTTTCGACGTGAATTTAAAATAGCTGCAAGCTGTTGCTACGCTACCCGGCCACCCCGGTCTTATATCGCGTATTCTTATCGAAGTGTACAGGATAAATGGAATGCCACAAAGCCATCTTTCAGTCGCGAATATAGACGCTAACTCGAGACGGACCGCGTCGTATCGTTCTCACATTGGAAACGGAAGAACTGAATTAAGAGAAATAACTCATATTACGCGCGACAAAAGCGCGTATCTGTCTCTTCGCTCGCCGAGTCACCTCTTCCTGTTTGTTTCCGCTTTCTGTGACGCAACGAGGCGCCGCTCGCGTCGTGAAAAACCGAATGGAAAATCGCCAGGGGGGTCAGTCTATCGGAAAAGCTAGGAAACGGAGCATTAGCTATCAATCACGAGGGGTCCACGCAGCACCGTCGTTAAATCTGACGCAATTCTATGTAACGTATAACTATCCGAGGACGACTATTCCCGAGCCTCGAAAATTCCTTTCGTAAAGAAACCATAAAGCTATGGGAGAGCGTCTCGCCGGTCAAATATAATCCTCGAGGGAAAGAAGGACAATAATGACCGCGGCACAAGCGATCGTTCGCGCGAGTGCCGAAGTGTTAAAAAAAAAGAAACAGGACGGCAAATAGAGGGGGAGGAGCCCCAGGCCTCGGTGCGTCCAGGATGCTTCGCATAGTCGCGGATAGTCGGTGTAAGGACACCGTTAACGTAGCGACGAACTCCGGAACGTCAGACGGAGGGGTCCTTTCGTACGTGCCCGCGCACTCGGGCAGTAACCGTGGACCATAAGCCCGGTCCGCTCCGTTCTCGGCAGCCTCCGTGCATTCAGCATGCGCGCTCGGCTGCAGCCAGACGACTCACCATCTCGTTTCACTTTGATGTTGTGACCGCGCCGCATTCCTTCTCTCCTTTACCACCGCGTCCCCGTTTACCCGTTTCCTCCATGCGCTCTTCTGCATCCTCTCGAACCGGCTCTCTCTCTCTCTCTCTCTTGCTCGCTCGCTCGCTATCCCGCTGTCCTTTTCCACTTGTCTGTCCCTCTCTCTGTTCCTCGTTCTCTCTACATACACTCGCGCTTTGATACACACAAAGCAAACGCCATAACGCCATGAGATGAGGTCGCATCGGGACAGGAAACGCCAAGGGACGCATCGCGCGCGTGTTTTCTCCCAAAAGCCAGAGTTTTCCGTGACGTAAACGCCTCTTGTTCGCGCCGAGTACCGCGATAATTCATCACGGTGATGTTTCTCCCCCAAAGTAGCGCGCCCGCACGTGGAAAAGCACTATTTCCTTCTTTAATTGTGTCGCTGCACCTCTGCTCCATTTTTATCGCCAACTTTCGCCGCGCGGAGATCATTTCGGAGATCATAAATCCTGACAATTATTCTAATAAATTACAGCAACGGGCGGACGTGCTATTTTAGCGAACGTTTTTTTGTGCCTTCTTATTTGCGCAATGCTCTTATTTTATCCCATTGTCTACGGCCGGTATTCATCGTCCGTTCTTATATTCAAGATCGTCTCGAGTATATTCTTAATGTGTTTTTAACACCGATCGCAGAGCCGTATTAGCCCCTCAAGACAACACTTAGGATGATATTGAAATAAGAATCGACTATGAACACACCCGTGTCCTTTCCGACGCGCACCGATTTAATTAACGCGATCTCGCGAGATCGCGCCCGAGGTGGCGGAGTGTGTCGAGTTCTCTATACGTTTTCGTTTCGCACGGCCCGCAAAACATGCCGATGCGCCGGCCTCGTCGTTTTTGCTCCGATTCCCCTCGGTATCTCGGGACGATACGGCACCACGTGGCTACTTTCTCGAGTGCACTCGATTGCAGTGTGCACGCACGAGCCCGGCGAAAGTATCGAGGTAAGAGTGCTCGACGGCGCCACGGCGAATCCGCGCGTTCTCTCGCCTCCGTTCGGCCTCGCTCTCTTCTCTCGTCTTCCTCGATCTCTCGGTCTCTACGATTCTTGGCCTCTCTTCCCGCCTCCCCCCCCCCCACCCCCGCCCCCGGCAGGGTGATCGATTAAAGTTTCGATGGAGACCCTCATTTCTCGCCTCCGAATTCGAAGTGCGCTCCGGAATATCGATCCCGGACTTCGACTTCTCGCGCGGCAATTCGCGCAAGGTGGTAGCAAAGGGATAGGGCGGTATAATCCCGGGGCCGCTCGATACCATCGGATTCGGTTCCCCTCAACTCGTCGCCGTTCCTACGGAACATTCACCGAGACTCGCCGGATGCATCTCCGACGTCTTTCGCATTCAAATCACGGAGGATGTTACTTTCGTTAAGAAATGACGATATGAACGAAAATGAAACTGGAATATTTTCCTAAATAAGGGACGGCCCTGGTATCTTAAAGTGGTATTCGTTTTCCTTTTATCTTTTTAAATGTTTGCGAAAAGGAAGCGATTTCTCTGTAGGTTAAAGCTGGAGATCTGGTTACTCCGGTTACTATTAATTAGTTCTTTCCCCGCTGCGAACGTGGCGATTAGCGAATAAAGGCGTTTATCGAAGCGCGCAAATTACAATGGAGGGATAAAAAGAGGTTCGCTGCTGTCGGGAGTTGTGAATGCTCAACAGATTTTTGTGTAGCGTCTCTCGCAAGAACGTTAATATTTCAAGTGAGAAAATTGGACGAGGCGTTACACAAAAGGGTTTCTTTGCTCGTTTATTTATTCTCTGGACAGCCCGCCGAGTTTGAGGATCGACGGAACAATGTGAAAAACCGTTGCGATTATGTTACGACGAACGGAAAGCACCGTCCTTTCTCACGGTTACCGCAGCATGGCTTTCGGTCCTCATCCTCGCAGTTTTCGCGGCGTTTTTCTCGGGACGGAATTATCCTACGATTCGGCTCTTCGAAGAGTGCTGAGATTGTGAAACCATCGAACGAAAAGTTGACCGCGATAACGATTGTGATCTGAAAAAAATTGCGCTGCGGTTTTAAGGGGGGGAAAAAAAAGAAAAAACGCAAAATTGCGGTACGTTCGTGGATGGCGAAACCGGTGCTGACTTGTAACTCTAACATTATTCGCGTGGAGTGTAAAATATTAGGTTGTTGCGCATGACATGGCCGTTTTCGCAGATTGGTAACATTACTGACGTTTTACTACATAAAAACGAACGGAACGAGACAGTTGTTATATGTCGAATTAAAGTGACAACCCTGATCTTCAAAACCTAGATTTCATTTTTTTATTGATCACTGTCAACGTTTTCGTGGCCAGCCAACTTGAAATGTTGGATACGAGTCAAATGGGCTAATTTTTTTTACGGGTTTAAACTCGGACATAACGCAGCAAAAGCAGCCAGAAACGTCAACCCGGCGTTTGGAGAAGAGTACAACTGGCGAACGAACTAGGCGTTGGTTTGAAAAATTTCAGGAAATGTAAGCCTGGAAAATGAACCTCCTGGTTTCACCCTGAAACGGCCATAGACAACGACGAGCTAAGGGTTTCGGTAGGCGTCCACTATTCAACAGTTTACTCGGCA